GGTCCAGCCCACCCAGCCCCTCACTCTAACTGGGGATGTAGAGGAAGTAGACAAGTTTTGTTATTTGGGCAGTTATATCTCACCTGTCGGATGAATTGTGGGCAAGCAGACAGAAGGCTCGGTTGGTATTTGCCAANGTTAAGACAGTCCTCCTCTACAGCTATTAAGGAAACAGGATGAAAGTAGATTGTCTACGCCACATTGAACGAGTCTGATAGAGAAACCGGATAAGCAATGCATCATCATCATATAGGGGAATACAGGGAAGCAAACTTCACTAATCGCCACCAAACTCTCAATGCATGTGCATTGGGGTTTGATGGACCGGTAGTGCTAGGGTGTCCAGCCACTAAGCAATGCTGAGGCTAGACGCAAAGTTTTCGGCAATAGCGGTTATCCACTGGAACAAGTGGCCGACCTCCGTAGAATACGCTTGTTGGGTGCATGTGATTCGCATGTCACCAGATAGATTGCCACAGCCTGAGATGTTTACCGAGGCAGGCAGCTGATGGAAAAAGATCACTGAGTCACATAGGTACCTCTAAGCTTCCTGGATAGGGACCCCGAGATCATGGTAGCTGGTGGTTAGAGACTGAGCGATATGGCTGAGTGTCGTAAACGGTGACACTCGTGCATGTACTATTAATTCTTGCAACCTCAGTCTATGTGAATTCTTTATCTTCTCTTTGGTTATGCTCTCAACAGTCAATCTTCATTCTGCTCTCTTTTATTCACATGGGCAGCAACCAAAACTGGCGCATGAAAATGCTGGGTTTATGGTTTTAAAATTCAAATTTTATCCGAGTCATTTGTCAGCCAAGAGGTCACTTTCGTATCAGGGGTAAAACCAGGAGTCTGTGGGTGAGAGTCACTAACCTTAGTTCTGCGGTATTATTATTTCCTTGTTTCATATTGTTTCATCAAACTTGCTCATCATAATCCAATGCTTTAACATACATCTCACTTGATAACTGTCTTAAATTCCCGTTGCTTTTTCAGTTTTCGTTCCTGAAATGTTGTCCGTCATTAGCTCTACTCATGCTACTTGGCAAGAGCTGAATTTTGCGGAGTTTCAGGTTTTTATTCTTTCGTACAATTTTTTCACTCACCAATAATGGTAGAAAATACTGGAGTCCACTGTGATTGAGCTGGCTTCAAATCGTGATAAAGGCGAAACAAGCCGAGCAGAACTTGTGCTTCAAACAAAGGAATTCCGAAAGAATGCCCCAGAAGTAACCTACTAAATGCGTTTTAATTAGCTTTGATCAGGAAGTGCGAAAAGCCGTGCTGTCGTTGCTTCGATCGTTCCAAACTGAAATAGATGCCTCCCGAAAACGATGCCAATTCGCTGAAGAAGCGTATATCTCCATCTACAAGAAAATGATGGATCTACCTGGTAACTGGTCTCTTATTTTATTTATTCATGGAAGATCCGACCTTGGCTTTGGCTGAGGTTCAAAGTCTCCAGAAACGTGCGACGAGAGTAATGGAGGTGGAAGCTGAGTTGAGAAAACTAAAAGAATCAAACGATCAGCTCAAGACTGAGCTCCAATCTCTGCGCCCTCTTGGTAATTTCTTCTAATCGGCCGGTAATGGTTGCAACAGAACAGGAAAACAAGCGTTTGCAAAAACAGATCGGTGAACTGACTGACAATGTGGGCTCACGTTTGGAGTCGGAGACCGCCAAACTCCGAGAGGAGTCAGACAGAATTTTGATGGACAAAGAACACGAACTCATCCTGCTAAAAGCAGAAGCTGCAGATAAGTTAAGCGCAATGGAGGATAAGTGCACATCCCTGACCAAAGGTTAGTATGCATCAGTTTTCAGTTTATACGGTCATTATCTGCCATTGTTTTCTGTCACTAATACTTAATTTTTCGTAGAAGAAATTCGTCGTGTATAGGGCAAATGAAGCGTGAGCTGAGAAGCTGGGAAGAACTGTACATGTGTTTTGACCTGGTCAGCAGTGCGAATACATCGACCCAACTGATGACCGAACCCGGGACCTTACAGGCAGAACGCAAGCATACTACCCACCCGACCACCGGGCAGCTGATCAGACCGTTCGTTTTCAATTTTTCATTTACACCATACAGCAGAATCCATCTTTGTCAGTTTGTTGCGGGCGTTGCGCACCGCTCATCTCAACCCTAGCCTCCACGGTTATGACTCGATTGGAAGCTGTCACAACCGTATTAATAATAATAATAATAATAATAATAATAATAATAATAACTGGTTTCTGTATAACGGTTACACATGTAATATCATAACTATCATTTCCGTCGTGATTATTGGAATGACTTGTTCATTTAACTTTCATATTGCTCTTTCTCCTGATATGCCCTCCCCCGCCTGAACTCATGTTCATATATCGGTCTGATTTTTTCCCCCAATAGCTCTGGAGCTTGCTCAATCTGAAGTTTTCAAATTAAAATCGCAACAGGACAAAACGGAAGTGGGCAGGTTTGTTTGATCTTTCGCTTATCGGTTGACTCTCCCCACTAAACCATATTCAGATCATCGGAAGTGGAGCTTTTGATGGATGAACTTGAGAAGGCTCATGTTGTAAGTTTCGTGTATTCCGTATCTTCAGTCTGTTCACAATTTTCTCCTGTGCCCCAAAACTTCCCCCGTCTACTTTATGTTCACCTCTCTAGATAGATCTCATTTACATTTTCCGAATATTTGACTCGTAAAGTAATTTTGAACCAAGTGTGCTGTGCAGATCTATTCATGCCTTTGAAATTCTTGAGTAAGAATTGATCATTTAGTCTCGCAACTATGACAGATTGGTCTTGGGCCAGTCGTGGAACCAATCAGTATTGACATTGCATAGGAATGCAGAAATTTGAGAAGCCATGGTGGTCGATTGTGCGAACCCTAACATGAGGACTGCGAAATAAGGGATTCATCGTTTTGAGAAGGACAGCGACTGTAAACGTGCATATGCTAGGAGTTGACAACAAAAGATTACTGACAGGAATATAGTGGTAAGCGATCTGTCCTGATGAGGCCAGGTTCTCCTTGATACAGCATGACGGTAGAATTCGTGTGTGGTGATCACTCGGAACATGCGTAGATGATGGGGTTAATCATTGCAGTGCTTAGAGTGATCGCGGTTCCATGCAAGATTGTGGAAAGGCATTTTGGATGGACGGAAGGAGTGAACTTGTGACCTTCAGGATATCTTACTGGAGCCAATTCCTGCGCGGTTCTGAGTAGTTATCAGATGCCA